TGAGTTGGCTGCAGGGAGGCTCGGTTACATTCCACCCGGGAACGACGCCTCCCGCGTCGTGGAGGTCTGCAGTTCCCGTGACAGGCGCTGCACAGGGCTCCAAACCGGGCCGGAACCCAAGGGTGGGGGTAATCCCGGTGGGAATGCACCCTGCAGGAAGGGGTGCGCAGGGAGAGAGAGCGAGAGGAGCCAAAGGCTTTACAAATCCGCAGCCACACGTCCGGTGCCAACCAATAACCGGGAGACTCAGGGGTGTCTCTCGGCTCGGCCCAGGAAGGAAGGATTAGCCGGCACTGTTTCCTGCTTGGGAGCTCACGTTCCCTTCCGGGAGCCAGGCTCCATGCGCACTGCCCTTCATCCCTCTCCAGGGCTCCCCCTTTTCCCTCCTCCGCCCTCTCCTCCCTTTCACACGTCTGGCTCCTGCAGAGGGAAGCTGCGGGATCAAACACGTGCCAAAGGGCCGAGCGTGCCAGAGAAGGGAGCGACAGGCCGATCCTTCCAGCACTCCCACAGGGAAACGGAAAGAAGGCAGCACACCCCGTCCCTCCCTCCGGCTGAGCATGGAGCTGCTGAGCTCCTCGCGCCCTGCCCTCGAAGCACCGCATCGTGGCCGGGCACGTCCACGGGAAGGCACGGCTGGGAGAGGGACTGCCTGCCACGTGCGCGGTGGCAGCTCGGAAAAGCAGCCCGTGCATTCCAAACTCACTCTGTGCCAAACCACAAAATCCCACTTGGGAGTCAGCAGTGCCCGGCAAGAGGAGGATCCTGTGAACCACAGCTGGCTGGAGCGTGCGCTTCCAAGAGGGCCCCCCCGCGACTTCCCACTCCGGCAGGCCCTGCCGCCGGGGCCTGCTGCACCGGAGCGCCCGGTCTCGCTGCCGGAGAGGCACTGCTTGGCAGGGAGGTTCGTCCCTTCGGCAGAGGCAGCTTTGTGACGCTGGGTGTTCTCTGCAGCCAGGAGAAGGCCGCTCCGCAGCTCTCCCTGCCCCCTGGGAACCCGCGGGCCAGCCCTGCAGGAAGCAGGGCAGAGGCATTCCCATAACAGCTGGCTCCATAAGCAAAGAGCTGGAGAACTCCGGAACAGGGGCCACATCCTTCCAGCATCCAAACCGGACACGTGCTGGAGCGGGCAGCGCTGACAGTAGGGACTGTCGGAGGGGACGGAGCCGCCTCGGGAAGTGACACGGTGACGAGCTCGGCCGCGTGATCAGGGTAATGGAAGCTGCTGGAACACGGCAAAGACGGCTCCGCTCAGCCAAGGGCCGCATCCAGCCGGGACAGTGGGTCCTTGTTGAGGTGCTCCACCTGTGCACCCTCACGTGAGGATCTAGATAGGGTGTCCCACACATCAGACTTCCCAAAAAACATCCTCAGTGAAGAACAGCAGCTTAGGAAGCGTGAAAATCCGATACTGAGCAGCCAAACACTTAGGGCCGCGTGTAAAGCAGAACGCGAGAGGCAAGGACGTGCACTCTGCAGAAGGGCAATTTAGAGACAAAACCAGAGCAACCGGCCAGGGGAAAGCATTCCTG